GGCCTCTGGGGGGGGTAAGGGAAGGATGGGTGATGGACAGGTGAGCTGATGGCAGCTGAGGGGGTGGACAGATAGATGAATGGATCCATGCGGAGATGGCAGCCTGGCTGACATCATAGCCAGGGCTGTTGTGGTGACCCTTGTCCTGGCTGTGGCTGGCGCAGGTGGTGGAACCTGTGCAAAATGAATGAGCTCTCTCCATTTTCTTCTGCAGCCTCGAAGCGGAGGGTCCCGGGATCCCAGCCAGGCATGGCTGATCCCCACCAGTTTTTCGACGATACGAGTTCCACCCCGAGTCGGGGCTATGGAGCCCAGCCGTCCCCTGGTGGTCTGGGCTACCCCTCCCCTTCCTCCTCCCCTGAGGCCGCCTTCTTGGCTAATCCTATGTCCAACATGGCCATGGCCTACGGGAGCAGCCTGGCCGCTCACGGCAAGGAGCTGGTCGACAAGAACGTGAGTAGACCTGGCTGGTGGTCTTGGGCAGTGGGTGAGGGGCCGGCGGGGGCCACAGGGCCTCAGGCTCGAGCTCTGCCTCCCCTCCCCAGATTGACCGCTTCATCCCCGTCACCAAGCTGAAGTACTACTTCGCTGTGGACACCGTGTACGTGGGCAGGAAGCTGGGCCTCCTTGTCTTTCCCTACCTACACCAGGTCAGCACCACCCCCTCGCTCCGCGCCCGCCTGGAAGCAGGGTGGGGGACCTCAGCCTGGGGTCCTGCCACTCCCCCAACTCTCTCCACAGGACTGGGAGGTACAGTACCAGCAGGACACCCCAGTGGCACCCCGCTTTGACATCAACGCTCCAGACCTCTACATTCCAGGTTGCACCCTCCCACCACTGCCTGGGCATGTCTGGGACAGATGTGTGGGTGCCCTGTGGCCAAGGAGGGCTTCTCCTCTGACAAGTGTCTGTGTCTGCCTTTCACAGCCATGGCTTTCATCACCTACATCCTGGTAGCCGGCCTTGCACTGGGAACCCAGGACAGGTGAGGATCCTGGAGCGGGGGAGTGGGTGGGGTGGTCTCGGCTCTCCTGTCTTAGAACCTTGCTACTAGTGGTTGAGACCGTCGTCACCTCAGTGACATCCTTCGCCCACCCACATGAGCCCATCAGACCCTTTTGTGCTGGGTGACCTTCTAAATCCACCCTTCCTTCCTTCCTTCCTTCCTTCCGGCCTCCACCCACAGATCTGTCCTTATGTTCACAGTCCTCTAGGTAGCTGCTCCCACCATCACCCCGTGTACGCTTGCTCTAGTAGCATCTGAAAGGTACAGTCTGAGAGGTGATCCTGGCCCGCCCCCCTATTCCGTCTAGATGTCTTGGCTCGAAGATCAAGCCCCTGATCCTTCCTACCTCCTTGCTCACCCTGCCCTGCTGGGGCTGCCTCAGGGCCTTGTACATCCAGTTAGTACCTTGATTCAGGAATGTGCTCTTCCCCTACATGTGCCCGGCACCTGCTCGTTCACTGGTTCCCATCCTGTGTCACTTCCTAACTGACTTCAGGCTGAGTCAGCCCCCCACCCCCACCCCTCAAGCCCAGCTGCCTGCTCCTTCCCTTTTGAGGCACTGAAAACAAGTGTCAGCAGAAACAGTGGATTCATTGCTGAGGCTCCAGGGCAGAGACCAAGGCCCTCGTCCACCAGCTCCTGACTCTTTAGGCTTCAGCCCAGCTGTCCGTCTTTAAGGAGGAGCCCTCCTGGTACCCCTCGCAGGGCTCAGAGGCCCTCCCTTCAAGCCCTGACTCAAGTGTCACGGTCTGGGTACAGACCCGCATCCTTGTTGGTCCCTGCTCCATCTCCAGGGGCCCTCAACCCAGGGCTGCCCCAGGTGATGTTCAGAGGGTGTCTCAGTTACCAGCCCCGTGACAGAGCAAATGTCGTCACTTCTGGCAGGTTCTCCCCAGACCTCCTGGGACTGCAGGCGAGCTCGGCACTGGCCTGGCTGACCCTGGAGGTTGTAGCCATCCTGCTCAGTCTCTACCTGGTCACTGTCAACACCGACCTCACCACCATTGACCTGGTGGCCTTCTTGGGCTACAAATATGTCGGGTGAGTGCTCCTACCCTGCCTGCCAGTCCCAGACCTTGGCCTCTTCTTCAACTGCTTTCTCCTCACTCTCAGGATGATTGGCGGGGTCCTCATGGGTCTGCTCTTTGGAAAGATTGGCTACTACCTCATGCTTGGCTGGTGCTGTGTGTCCATCTTTGTGTTCATGGTAAGTGGGGCTTGGGGTGGGCAAGACAGAGACCACAGGCCTCCTGCACAAACTTGGGAGGTCTTTAGAGCATCCAAGTACAGAGAATTTACATCAGTCATATTGCTGAACTGGGAGGGATCAGAGTGCCCCAAACCTGGAGACTGGGAGCTCTGGAAGAGGGGTCTCCTGTATGGGTCCTCTGGGAAGGGCCAGGACCAGTCAGGTGCTGGGGGCCAGGGTTGCCCAGTACAGAGGCTCTAGGTTCGGTGCTCACCCTCACTTCAGTTCCTGTATCCTGGGCTTTCTGCCAGTACGCCCCTGCAAGGAGGCCGAGTCCTTCCAGTGCTGACTGAGGGCGGTAGGGGCTGCCATGCTGAGGTTGGCCCTCGTGTACTCAGGGTGAGTCAACCTAAGCTTCCGTCTCTCCTGTAAAATGGGGTGCCTCGTGACTGTACCTCAGGGTCTGGGAGGATTTAGACCCAGCATGAACACTGGGATTGTCGGGCAAATCTGACCCACAAGCGAAAGTCTTGTCATCATTTAAAAGTAAAGGAGCTGGGGAGACGGCTCCGTCAGTAGAGAAGACCTGAGTTCAACCCTTAGACTCCACATTAAAAAAAAAAAAAGAGCGGGGCAGTGGTGGCGCACGCCTTTAATCCCAGCACTCAGGAGGCGGAGCCAGGCGGATCTGAGTTTGAGGCCAGCCTGGTCTAAAGAGCAAGTTCTGGGACAGCCAGGGCCACACAGAGAAACCTTGTGTCAAAAAAGCCAAAGAGGAGGAAAGCCAGGAGTGGAGGTGAACCCTCATAATCTCAGGGCTGCAGATGTGAAGACAGGTGGGTACCCGGGGCTCACTGACCTGCCAGCCTGGCCTGCTTGGTAAATGCCTGGTTAATGAGAGACCCTGTCTGGAGAAAAGAAAAAGGGTAGACACCCAAGGGTGTCCTGTAGCCGCCACAAGTATGTATGCGCGTGCACACACACACACACACACACACACACACACACACACGCGCGCGCACGCACACGCACACGCACACGCGCACACACATGCACATCCAAAACCTGAGCATTTGGGGGCCTGTGAGATGTCTAAGCAGGTAAAGGGCACTTGCCTGACAACTTGAGTTCTACTCCTGGTACCCACAGAGTGAAGGAGAGAACTGACTCCTACAAGTTGTGCCAACTTCCATACCAGGGCTCAAGTGCCCCAACCCCACAAAACAAATACATAAATATTAAAAAAAAAAAAAAAAAGCCGTAATTCCAGCACTGAGAAGATTGAGGCAAGTGGATCGCCACAAGTTTGTCGCCAACTTTGTCTACATAGAGAGTTCGAGGCCAGCCAGGACTATATATCAAGATCCTGCCCTCCACCCCCCTCAAAAAGAGAACGCACCTAAGCATGAGCAAAAAGAAAAGAGCTCTTCTCGCTTGTCCTGAAAAGGTGTCTTCTGGGGCTGGGGGTCTTATGCAGTCCCAGGGCTCTGACCTAGCATGGGTGGGGACCTGCCTTGCGTGAGGGAAGGCACTGTCTCCTGGCAGGCGGAAGCTGCTCGGCCACGCCCTTCGGGTCGATCTACAGTCCTGCTGCTCACCTAACTACATCCCACAGAACCTTCCAGGCCTTTGCTTCTGGAACCCACAGTGGTTCGCTCACAGGCCCGGGGAAGTAGCAATTCAGCAGAGCCTTCTAGGAGAGCAAGCCGGAGGCCGCCGAGGGCCAGGGACCCCCACACTGACCCGTTTCCCCCATCTTCCCCTTTGGTACGCAGATCCGGACCCTGCGGCTGAAGATCCTGGCCCAGGCGGCGGCCGAAGGGGTGCCGGTGCGTGGGGCGCGGAACCAGCTGCGCATGTACCTGACCATGGCGGTGGCGGCCGCGCAGCCGCTGCTCATGTACTGGCTCACCTTCCACCTGGTGCGGTGAGCGGCCAGCCTCGCCTTCCGCGCCACATTCATCTCAGCCGCCCCGGGCCCGTCTCCAGGCCCGGCCCCTCCCCCCAGCCAAGGTGCTCCTGCTGCCACTGCACACCCGCAACAATAAACCTGATGGGCTCAGCACGGCCTCCGCTCCTGACCGGCAGGGGGCGCTGGGGAGCGGGGCGGGCTGCAAGCTTTAATAGGTTAGTGGGGGGCCTTCTTCTTTTTCTTCTCCTTCTTCACCTTGGGTTTCTTGGCCTTGTCCGAGGATTGTTCATGCTTCTTGCAGCCGGTGGCGTGCTTCTGAGGGCCGGGGGCGGTGGGCGGGAGAAAGAAGAGGCGGCCCGGTTGGGAGCGGAACTGGACCTGCCCCACCCACCGCAGCAAGGATCCTAAGCTGACCCTGACCAGGGCCGGGGGTGTGTGAGAACGTGGCACGGAGAGGGGCAACCTCTTACCTTTCCCTCCCCCTCCGAGTCGCTGGAGCTGCTGCTGCTGGAGTCAGAGGAGCTGCCGGAGCCATGCTAGATGGGGTGGGGGTGACAGGGGGTGAGGCAGCTTCCAACCCAAGCTGAGAGGCTGAGGTGTGCCGAACACCCAGGACAGAAGCCAGTCCCCGCCCTGGGCCCTCGGGACGCGATGCCCCGTGGTAAGGTGACTTACCCTTGGCTTGTGAGCAGCGCCTGCCTCTGGTCGGCCCGGAGCTTTAGGGGGACAGTGCTTGGGGTTTCCCACTTGACCTGTCCCCTCTGGCTTCTTAGAAGCAGGGCCCACGGCTGCAGAGGGAAGAAAAGTTAGATGGGTTGTGCAGGCAGCTGGGAGTGGCCCTTCGGTGGGAGTCCCTGGATTTGAGTCCGGCCCCCACCTCGCACCGCAAATCCACCACTCGGGGAGCATTACCTGCGGACAGGTCGAAATCCATGGCGATGATCACGGTCTGGAAGGTCGGAAGGATTAGGCAGTGCCTGGGGCAGGGGGTGGGGCCGCGCGACCTGCCCCGCCTCAGGAATTCTGCGAAGCCCCACCCTCCGGACCTTTGCACCCCTCAACTCTAAGGCCCTGACTCATTCATTGCGTGCCGCTCCCAGCCCCACCCAGACTTTCCTCTGTGGGAAACGGCGGTGGGGGTGGCCGTAGGTTTCTGGGGAAAGGGTTGAGGCCTGTCATGAATTGATCCCCTCCACAGAGGTGCTTCGAAGGAGTCTTTCCATGTACACTGAAGGACGTTAAAGACCATCCTGGGAGCGGGGAGCTCGGGTTCCCGGCCCCTCCGGCCTGAGAAAAGTAGTGTCCGGGATTAGGAGCCCAATCTAGTGCAACTTGGTGGCAGCTGGGAGAAAGAAGGCCTCAGCAAAGTTGCACCCTGGGGTGATGGAGGAAGACAGGCAGATGGGTTAAATTCCTAGACTGGTGCCTGGCAGAGTAAGTGCTTGTGAAATGTGTTGCGTTGTTTTGATAAAGGCGGGTGTCTTAATTTGGGTTGTTAAAACAAACACAGCAGATAAGTGGCTTAAACAGTAATTTACCTTATAGTTGTCGAGGCCGAGAGCTTGGTGCCAGGCAAGAGCAGAGACAGACCCCTAGTATGGAGATGGCCTGCATCCTGCCAATTTGTCTTGGCTTTTCTTGTGTCTGGATGTGGGCTCTCTTCCTAATGACTAATCCCACTGGGGAGTTTCACTCTCAAGATCCTATCACCTTCAGCAGTAACTCTTCAAAACCATCTACCTTTTTATCACAAACATAGCTCTAAGCTGGGCACAGTGATGCAGGACTGTAATTCCACTCTTCAGGAGACCTCGGGAGGATTTAAAGTTCTGCTATAGCTTGGGCTACATAGCATGAGAGTGTCATGGCGCACACCTTTAATTCTAGCACTCGGGAGGCAGAGGCAGGCAGATATCTGAGATCGAGGCCAGCCTGGTCTACAGAACGAGATCCAGGACAACCAGAGCTACAACCAGGGCTCTACCTGTCTAAAAAAAATGAGGCTGGTGAGGAGGCCCATTGGGTAAAGACACTTGCCAAGGCTAATGAGCCGAGTTCAATCGCTGAGACCCACAGGAGGAGAGAACCAGCTCCTGCAAGGTGTCTCTGGACCTCCACAGGTGCACATCCGGGCACATGCACACAAAGTGAGATAACTATAATAGAAAAATATTAAAAACAAAACGCCTACTCTTATCTGCAGCAGTGAGCCTCTGGGCAGGAGCAGGTGGCTGCTTCAGGGATCGTAAGGAGCGTGTGCCTCTCCAGACAGCTGCTTCAGTGTCGGTTTGCAGAAATGCCTGCCCTAGTTGCTGCAGGCCATCACTCCAGCATGTTTGGTGTGCTTATCATTATCTGGAATACTTGTTTTTTTGAGACAGCGTTTCTCTGTGTAATACAGCCCTGGTTGTCCTGGAACTTTTTTTTAGATTAGGCTAGCCTTGAACTCAGAGATCCACCTGCCTCTGCTGCCCCAGTGCTGGGATGAAAGGTGCGTCACTATGGCCGGCCTCTTTTTAAAATTGTATGCATGTGTGAATGCTTGTGTGTGTGTGTGTGTGTGTGTGTGTGTGTGTGTGTGTGTG